TTTTGTACTGTAATGCTTTGTCTGTAGACAATAAATTTGGTTAAGTTTGTTATTTGGGCTCTTGAACATTTTTAAGAACAATCAGCAAGTATAGTCAAACATTTGGCTACGCTTTTAATGAACAGACGAAGGTTGCTATCAAATCAGCCAGGGGGGTTTTATGAAATGCTCCCCCACAGAAAAAAAAAACAAAAAAAAAAAAACCACACACCTTTCAAGCCGCTTCTACCCAAGCAACATGAATAAGTAGTCTTTAATTCATTGTTACAAGTAACTTCTACAGAGGAAAGCGCTAATGGAGAGCGTAGGTGTTAGAGCAGGGGTCGGCAACCTTTCAGAAGCGGTGTGCCGAGTCTTCATTTAGTCACTCTAATTTAAGGTTTCGCGTGCCAGTAATACATTTGAACATTTTTAGAAGATCTCTTTCTATAAGACCATAATATATAACTAAACTATTGCTGTATGTAAAGTAAATAAGGTTTTTAAAAATGTTTAAGAAACTTCATTTAAAATTAAATTAAAATGCAGAGCCCCTGGAGCAGTGGCCAGGACCCAGGCAGTGTGAGTGCCACTGAAAATCAGCTTGCGTGCCGCCTTTGGCACGCATGCCATAGGTTGCCTACCCCTGTGCTAGAGACTAGTGAGACACTGATACCAAGAAGAAGCTGTGAGAGTCATGTGTTACACGACAGGGACAAACCAGCCCAGCTTCTGTCAGGGCAAGTCATGAAGCGAGGCACACTCAAGGCTCAGAACCCTAGCCTGCCATAGACAGCAAATGGAGGCGAATCTCGACACACACTTTGGAGTTAGTTTCCCAGACCTGAAGAAGGGCTGTGTGTAGCCTGAAAGCTTGTCTCTCTCACCAACAGAAGTTGATCCAATACAAGATATTGCCTCACTCACCTTGTCTCTCTGACTTTGGATAGAGATAGTCAGCAGAGTGGACTGGCAACCCCCACTCCTGCTCCCTAGAAGCAGACTCAAAAGGGGGCACCCCAGTGCTATGGGGCACACTAGTCATATTTCCCCCTCCTGAGCTGCTGCTGGCAGTTACTAAAAGGATGAAGTGTAGAAGCCATGATGACGGGAACTTTGCCCCCACCTTGCCCCCACAGTGGGAAGGAGATCTCTCCTTCTCTGAGTGCATGCATCATCCCCTACTATGTACCTGGCATGAGGCGCTCCCGGGTGTACCACAGGGCAAAGCCATCCCCATTCAGGTTCTTCTTGCCTGCTCCATGGATCTTGAAGTGGACATGGAGCTCCCAGTCCTTGAGGAAACAGGGCTGAGAGAGAGGGAGTCACACTCAGTACCATGGACAGCATTCCATGGACACCTCCCCCACCCATGGGGACTCCCACAGACAGAACTGCTTAGCCACTGCACCCTCTCTCTTTCCTCTCAGGGACAACAGCTTTAGTCCCCACAGAAGCCGCAGTATTCACCCTCATTCGGGGCTTCAGAACCAGGGCTTGGAACTCCGGCTCCCGAGCAAACCAAATGGGATCTCCTCCATCACAAGGCTGCACTCACCACTCGGTTCCAGATGGAGCCCTCTTTGCTGCGCTCATCAGGAGTCAGGCGGACATACTGGCTGGTGAGCATCGTGCTCCCCTGGAAGTCCCAGAGCGGCATTGAACTGGAACCAACCCCTAGAGCAGAGAGGACGGGCACAGCTGAGATCACAAGCTAAGCGGGCGGGAAGGGCTGCAGGGGTTCTGGGAGCCGCAGAGAATAGCCATGCTGGGGGCAGGCTAAGCCGGACAATGCCAGAGAAAGGCCCGTGGGGACCTTGGGAACGTGGGGCCGGCGAGTCTCTGCCCACTCGCGGAGGGGGAGAAGCGGCCAGAGCCCGTCTCCGAGGGGTGTCCCCAGCCCCGCTCGCCCCGGGCCCCGCTCACCCTGGTAGGGTTTGGTCAGCGAGTGCTCCCGCTTCAGGTGCTCGTTGTTCCCGTCGGTGAGCTCAGCGGCCCCGCGCCGCAGCCCGGACGCCAGCAGCAGCAGCGCCCCGGACAAGAGGCCACGCACGGGGCAGCCCCGACCCCACCGCCCGCGGCGCGCGCAGCCGCCTCCGCCCGGACCCGCCGCCATCCCGCTCCCACTGCTTCCGGCCGGAACCGGAACCGGAACCAGAACGCACCAGCCACCCCGGAAACTCCTCCCTAGGGCCGCGCCAGCCCTCCAATTAGAGCCCGGGCTGACGGGGCTTCCGGAGGAGACCCCGCCCCCACACAGAGCAGCTAGTGCGAGCGCCACACGTCATTCCTCGTATCCATGGCAGCCGAGAGGCGGGGCTAACGGAGCTCATACCGCTCCCAGCATGCACTGGGGATGGTGGGGTGTGGACTACGACTCCCAGCATGCACTTGGGCTAGGCCTGTCGGACCGCAGCAGAGACTCATAGACTATCAGGGTTGGAAGGGACCCCAAGAGGTTCTAGTCCCCCCCCCCCAGCAGGACCAACCCCAACTAAATCCCCAGATCCCTAAGTGGCCCCCTCAAGGATTGAACTCACAACCCTGGGTTTAGCAGGCCAATGCTCAAACCACTGAGCTGTCACTCGGCAACCAGCCATTGACATCGCGCCGCCCCCACGGCCCCTCAGGCGTGCGTCATCCCGCCCCCAGGAACCCCAAGCCGCATGGCCACGACCCCCCCGCCTCCCTCCGCGCACCAATAACTCAGCCAAAGCAGCAGCCGGAGCCCAGCCAGCTTTATTGGAGATGCCAGACACAGCCTGGGTCCTGAGCAGGCTGGATCACTGGGGCCTGCCCTGTTACTGCTTTTCTGCCAAATGTCCCTGCTCAGATACAGGCTGTGTCTCTGCTCAGCCCCTGGGATGGGGCCAGGGTTGGAGACAGGGAGGTGAAAACGGGCAGGAGGAACGCGCCCGCCCCCCATTAGGCTTGGGGGATTGTCACAGCTGTGGGCAGATCTGGGTGCGTCAGCATGCCTGTGTCTCTGGTGGTTATGAGATTCTCACAGCAGCCACTGCTGGGCTGGCATCGTACAACACTGTCAGGAGCATTCCTGCATGGGCACTCTGTGCATGCCAGCTACAGGCTTCGCTGACCCTATGGAGTGAAGCAACAACCTCCAGAGCTGAACTTACACATCTCTGCAACTTGAACTAAAGAGTCTGGGGCTGGGGAATGTATCAGACTAGCATCCTCTAGCTACAGTGGGGAACATGTAACACACTCACCAGTGGATTCCATGTACAATGCACATGGGTGTAGGCTGCAGGGTCAGCATGCTCATGCACAGCGGGTGTAGTGTCAATGTGCAGGCCCAGTGGGTACAGCATGTGACAGTTCAGTTTCAGGCTGCCGTTTGGGGCTCGATTTTCAAAAGCACAGCTCCTTGGGCTGCTCTGAAATTGCCAGTTTTGCAATAACTACTCTCAGGCAGCGTTAACGTGCGGCTCAGACGCTTAGGGGACTGGCTTGCAGTGGTGCTGCAGGGATACGGATAAAGAATGTAGCCTGTGGGTTAAGATACTGCAGTAGTGTGCCATCTATGTGCTGACTCTGACTTCCTGTCTGTGCCCATGGGATGATTCCGGCCGCCCCCCAGAAATGCATGGAGGATGGCATCTTGTTCTACAAAATGACATCCTCTGCCCTGTGTGACTTTGCATGCACCGTATGTGCAAGGTTGCGCTGTGCATGCATGCGTAAAATTGCAGCCTTCCTAACAATTGCACAGCACACCACTGAGAGCCTGGCTGGACTTTAGGTCTAGATCAGCGGTTCTCAAACTTCATTGCACCGCAACCCCCTTCTGACAACAAAAATTACTACATGACCCCAAGAGGGGGGACTGAAGCTTCAGCCCACCCAAGCGCCACTGCCCTAGGTGGGGGGGCCAAAGCCAAAGGACATCAACCCTGGGCAGGGGGGCCTGTAACATGAGCCCTGCCACCCAGGGATGAAGCTGAAGCCTGAGACCCATGGGCTTCAGCTTTGGCCCAAGGCGGTGGGGCTCGGGCTTTGTCTTTGGCCCCAGCAAGCCTAATGACAGCCCTGGCGACCCCATGAACAGGGTCGCGACCCGCTTTGGGGTCCTGACCCACAATTTGAGAACTGCTGGTCTAGAGCAGTGGCTTTCAAACTTTTTTTCTGGAGACCCAGTTGAAGAAAATTGTTGATGCCTGCGACGCAACGGAGCTGGGGATGAGGGATTTAGGGTGTGGGAGGGGCTCAGGGCTGGGGCCAAGGGTTGGGGTGCAGGCTGTGGGATGGGGCTGGGGATGAGGAGTTTGGGATGCAGGAGGGGCTCTGGGTTTGGGGGGATCAGGGCTGGGGTAGGGGGTTGGGGTGCAGGAGGGGGTCAGGGCTCTGAGCTGGGGATGCAGGCTCTGGGGTGGGGCTGGGGATGAGGGGTTTGGGGTGCAGGAGGGGGTTCTGGGTTGTGGGGGGCTCAGGGCTGGGCAGGGGATTGGGGCGCAGGGTTGGGGCACAGGCTTACCTCCGGCAGCTTCCATTCAGTGGCACAGCGGGGGTGCAGAGGCAGGCTTCCCACCTGTCCTGGCTCCGCATACCGTGCTGTGCCTGAAGCGGCCAGCAGCAGGTCTGGCTCCTAGGCGTAGGCGCGCAAGCAGGTCCATGTGGCTCTCGCCTGCAGGCACTGCCCACCCCAGCTCCCATTGGCTGGGAACTGGCCAATGGGAGTACAGAACCGCTGCTCAGGGTGGGGGCAGTGCGCGAAGCTCCATGGCCCCCCGCCTAGAAGCCAGACCTGCTGCTGGCCGCTTCCGGGGCGCAGTGTGGTGTGGGAACAGGTAGGCACTAGCCTGGCTCGGCTGGGCAGCACCACCAATGGGACTTTTAACGAAGCAGTCGGCAGTGCTGACCAGAGCAACCCAGTACTGGGTCGCGACCCGAATTTTGAAAAACCCTGGTCCAGAGGCTTGCTCCTGGCTCCACTGGAGCCCTTGCTGCTGCCCTCCCGCCACAATTCAGGAACTGCAGATACACCAGTGACCAAATGAAACCCAGGAGGGTGAGGAATTCCAGAGAAGCTGATGAGCAATGAGAACTTGGCCGGCAAAGGCCCTTTGAGCTCAGCAGCCTGTGGCTGGGGGTCCAGGGAGGGCCAACTGCTGGGAATCTCGGGGAGCTGGTGAGCATGGCTGTGCGAACTGCAGCTCGATTCAGTCACTTCTTCCGGCTTGTGATCTGGCTGCAAATCCAGTTCATCCCATCCTATTCAAAACAAGAGACCAGTGTGAGCACTGGCCCCTCCCAGCGTCCCCTGGCTTGATTCCTTGCAGGGGTCTCTTTGCCAGATCACTGGCCCCTGGGCTTCTTCGCTGACCTCCCCAACCTCTGCCCCTCCGGGCTTCACCCCCATACCTGGACTCCTTCTCCAGACAGGGCTGAGCAGGCCTGGATTTGCCATTGGCGGTCCCGGTACGTAGGTAGGTTCAGTCCCTCTGCGATCTCTGCAGCTGGTGCTGCACTTGCCAGATCCTGCTTGTTGGCAAACACCAGCAAAGGGACACCGGTGAGACTCTCGTCCTCGATCAGCTCCGCCAGCTCCTGCCGAGAGACAGAGCAAGCAGTAGGCCTTGAGCGCAGACAGCTGCAGGGCTCCGCTGCCAGGGCCTCGTTCCAGGAGCTTGCACCCGCCTTGTCACGCGAGTGGGATCTGGATGATGGGTTGTGGGGACATCCCTCACCAAGTGTCACTGAGCTGGCACTTTTCTGCAAGGGTCCCCGGGACACTGCCAACCCAGCAGGGGGCCAGAGGCCAAACCCCCAAAGGCAGGGAGTTTCACCCTCCCTGAGGCTGTCTGGAATTGGCACAGCCCTTCCTGGCATCAGTCCCCTTGCAAAGGGAAAGCCCAGCATGTGTAACCAGTGGGTAGCCTTGACCCCAGCCTCTGACTATGGCCTGGGATGTGGGTTAATCTCCTGTCTCCGCCCTGGACTCTGTGACCTCAGGTGTGTTCTGCTCTGGGCCTCAGGTCCCATCAGTGTCATGGGGCACACGAGCTGGGGAGGAAACATTCCTCACCATGAACCCCTTTGCTGCCTGCCGTGCTGTAGCAGGGTGAACACCCACTCCAGCCCTGAAGGGGTTGGAAAAGCCCTGCAGAGGGCTGGGGCTGTGGAAAGGGGCAAAACCCCGGCTGATTGGGGAAGTGGCTGCAGCTGGGGTCACGCCCCAAACTGAGCAACTCAGCCTTATAAGAAGGCCAGGGCAGGCAGAAGCTGAGCAGTCTCTCTCTGACAGGAAACAGACCAGCAGGCAGCGAGCTCACCGGGGACCTAGAGTGGGGCAGGACTGGGGAAAGGCCTTGGGGGCTGGGAAGCCCTAGGCCAGCAACTCCCCAGGCTGCAGGGCCTGGTCCTAGGCCCATGTAGGTATTGGGGTTGCACTGGGGCAGCCGGAGGGTGGGTAAAGGCAGCCAGTCCAAACCCCTTGTTGCCTGTGATGATTGGCAGATAGACTGCCGTCTGCCCCAGGGCATGGGGGCTAGATGGTGACTGGCAGTAGCCACAACTGAGGTGATATGGGGGTGGGGGTTCCCCTGGGTGGGGAGACCAAGAGAGAGAGTGGGGTACTGCCAGGGGGGCAGCACCCAAGCCAAGGGCACCGGGGTCCAGGAGGGACATGGGGGGCCAATGACAGATGGGACACCTGGCCTGCAGAAGGCGCTCTGATGACTGGTGAGCTAATTCCCAAGATGACCAGCAGGAGGCGCCACAGGGGTGAGTCTGCACCTGATTACACATGCCTTCCTTCAGCTCAGGATACAACCGGCTGCCGGGGAACTACATTTCTCACCAATCCCTGGACGGAGGAGGTTCAGCAGGGGCTGAGGGTCCAGCCCAGCTTACTCACAGAATTGGGTAGTTAACAACCCTGGTTCTCTCTGTATCCCATAGAGATGCCTCCCCTCCCCCCCGAAAAGTCTTAAATGGCCAGTAGACACTGTTCTACTGGGGAAAGTAGCTGCTCCAGCAGCACAGCCAAGACTTGGTCCCAAAGACCCCCAGAAGCACGCACATCTGTGACCTGTCCCAGCACATGTAATGTCAAGAGAGCAATCTGCCCACAAGTCAGTGTATTTTCAGGGAGGACGCATCGTACCTGCCCGGTCTCCTCAAAGCGTTTCTTGTCAGCGCTGTCAATGACATAAATCTGCCACAGGAACAAAAGGGAAAGTCACCCATTCACTTCTTGCTCCCCATGGCACCCTGCCAGTCCCACCTTTATAGGCACCCTGCCCCCCAGGCACCCCTGGGTGGGTACCCACCAGTTCTCCCTTTGCAGGTGGGACAAAGGCTCCTGCTGTGGAACCCCAGTATTAGACCCCAGCCGGTCCAGCTTCCAACACTGCCTCGTCCCTGCCCACCTGGGGGCTGGCCCCATGCTCACCAGCATGTCTGTGTTGCCCAGGTACTTCTTCCAGTAGGGGCGGATGGCACGCTGCCCACCGATGTCCCAGACGTTCAGCTTGAAGCCGTGTGAGTGCACACTTTTTATGTTGAACCCCTGCACAGGGAAGCAAACCGGGCTGTAAGTCCAGGCAGGGGAGGAGAGCCCACCTCACCCACTATGCGCTGGATCCGGGGTTCTGCACCTACCTGCGTGGGGGTGATGGTGCTGACCTCCTCCGATGCCAGGCACTTCAGCAGCGTGGTTTTTCCGGCATTGTCCAGCCCCAGCAGGACAATCCGCAGTTCCTGCTCCACGGAGCCCTTGAGCTTTTGGATGACAGCGAGCAACCCCTGCAAGGACAAGGGGATCCTGAGCGGCCGGGGCTGCATCCTGGAGCCCCCCAGGCATGCCTGGGGTGCTGCAGAATCCCTGGCTGGGTGGGTTTGAGCTGGTTCAGAAGACGTGCTGGGGGTGCAGTCAGGGAGTTGACTGATACAACAGACAACCAAGAGCCATTGTTTCTGGGATCTATCACATGTGATGCCACAGAACCTGTCTGGAGAGTGAAACTGAACATTTATGACAATACGGTTGGACTTGAAAATTGACTGAAGAGCTGACATCAGTCATCTCAGAAGTAATTTACGATCACCTTCAACCCCTCCCAGAGCTGAAGTCACCCAACCCACTCTGACTAGCCCTGGAGGTACTCTGAGCTGCATGGGCCAGTTCACCACAGAAATAGCTTTCAAAGACACAAGCTGAGCACTCAGCGTGTATGTGATGAAAGGACCACAGACCAACAGCCTCCTCAGCCACAGCATGACAGCCATGATGGGCCTAGTGAGGAAGGTGGAAGAACTCGATGGAATATTTCATGATATTGGACTTCTGAAAGGAGATCCAGTACAGATAGACCTAAAACACAATGCTGCCCCATAGAGCATACATACCCCTCGCCAGATTCCTACCCACTTACTTCATAGAGTGGAAATTGAGCTAAACAGAATTAAATGGATTGGCATAACTGAGAAAAATCTCCAAGCTGACAGCACGGTGTGCCCCAATGGTACCGGCTATAAAGAAAAATAGGAAAATATTAATCTGTGTGGATCTTAAGACTCAGTGAAGCCATTGTAAGAGAAAAAATGTCCTCCCAGCACTGGCTGACTTCCTCCCCAAAGTGAAAAGAAGTACAGGATTTTCCAAGCTGGATGCCTCAAGGAGACTCTGGCAAATTCCGGTAGCCAAAGACAGTGTTAAACTGACTACATTTATCACACCCTTTGGTAGACTTTACTTTCAAAGATTACCTTTGGGATTACCAGTGTGCCTGAAATTTTCCAAAGAAAGATGGCAGAACTGTTAACAAACACAAATGGAGGTGTGTGTGTGTGTGTATATGTGTGTGTGTATATATACACACACACACACACACACACACACACACACACACACACACACACAAAGTCTTTGAGGGAAGAACACACCAAAACTCTCAATAAGGTCCCAAGGCTAATCATTTAGTCTGGACTAAAGCTAAACAAGGAGAAGTTTTTCTGCCTACCCCAAACTGAGACAATAAACAAAGATGGAATCATCAGGTCCTAGACCTGAGAAAGAAAAGTAATTTGAGAATTGAATGTACCAGAACTGAGACGCCTACTGGTGATTGGTGAATTACCTTGGTTGGTACCCACATGACCTTTGTGCAGTGACAAAACCACTGAATAAACTATTGAAGTCCAACACACCTTGACTGTGGGGC